CTCAAACTTCATCCCACTGAAATGAATTTTCTGAGAGATGTCCACGATATCTGTAAATGAAACCCATCACAACATCTGAAACTGAAACTGTTGAAACTCCTGTAAACCCAAAGACAGTGTTTAAAGCAATGATGGACAGATGGGAAGAGAACACAGGATCCAACAAAGCCCATCTCTGCTGCAGAAAACCCAAATGAAGACATTTTAAGCAGTGCTGGGTTTTGTCTCTGTTGGAGAACTACAACATCAGTCAAAGCACAAGGTCTGAAAAGTTACCTTCAAGTGCTTGCTGCCATCTTTTTAACTTTGCTTGTAAAACTGCAAACCAGATCTTGATTTATTACAGAGAGCTTGTGGGGATACCATAAACTTCAGTTTTTCTCGAAACAACGACCAAAATATGAAAGTTTGGCTCCCAGCAGAGATATCAAGACGCTGTGCTCACTTCTGAGGTTGCCCATATTATGCAATGTTTGCTGTAGACATTTCCATTTCATTAGCATATTCTGCTTTACAGGAAACCCAGCAATGAATGCTGTCCCTGATCTGAGGCTAATCCTCTTTAAAGAGCTACAGGCTATATTACATGTGGCCACAGCCACGGCTGTGCCAGGCCTGCAGCACTTTGAAGCCTATTGAACAGTGCTCCCTTGTGAGGCCATGCACAGAGACAGAAAGGGATGCTCCCTGTGCTCCGAAATCCTGCTCTTCCCACCTCCAGGAGCTCCTCTCAGGGACAGAGCAGAGACACCCAGCTGCCCTCACCACCCCTCAGTGCCAATTTATGTGCCTACAGTAATAAAAATCCCTTTTTTTCCTAAACGTCGGCAGCAACTGCCCCGAGGGAGGGCTTCCAGAACAATCAAAGGTGAAGAGAACCAGACAGCTGCTTCCCTGAGTAGGAAGGAAGGTGCTTGAGTAGTTTGGGACAAACAGACATATCTATCTTGGAAGGGAAAAGAGAGAAATGGTCACGGATGTACCTGTAAGGCTGCATTGCTCACAGCTGGGTGCCCCTGAAAGCTGTAAACTGAGATAATGGAAGTGTGGTTTTATTTCCACACACTGTGGAATCTCCAACACCTTCACAACTACAGAAATTTAAAGGGGAAAAAAATTACAAAAGAACAAGAAGGTCACTATGTTCTCTGGTCCTGCTACATATCAGCAAAATGTAGCTTATATTTTCTTTAATTGTTCAAAATTACTTTATTTGTTCAATGAAGGGAACTGGAAAGGCTGACTCTGCTCAGCCTGCAGTGTGCGCGTGAAATTTTCTCTGTCTGAATGGCGTCAAACCAGACAAGGAGAGTGGGTTCAGCCTCCACAGTAAAATGCGGGGCCTGGTGAAGGCAATGTTCAACTCCTTGCTATCAAAATAGCCACAAAAATTATTTTTTCCATTGCAGCAGAGGGAGAAAGGGTCCAGAGAAAAAACAAACACAAGTGGAGGGAGTAGCAAAGGGAATAGGAAAAGTAATCAGGAGGATGGTGAGAGGGAAGAACAGAGAGCAGGAGGGAAAGGAAAAGGGAAGAGAAACTGAGAAGGAAGAGAAAGGGAGAAGCCAGACAGGCTCTGAGAGAGGACCGGGGGCAGACCATGATGCAGAATGACAATGAGAACTTGGAAAGGGACAAAACAAAAGTTCATCTTGTCAGGAGTACTTCTCAGCAGCCAAGGTGAATATTCCTCACCAGTTTATTCAGGTCACATGAGAAGAAAAGAGGAAGAGCTCTTTCCCCTGTGTAAACAAGGATCAAAGAGGGAAATAAACAGAGGGAATTGTGCCTTCTCCTCCTCCTTTGGAAGATCTCTCTGCTGATGGAGGGGAGCTGCCCTTGGCACTGGGAGCTAAAACTTCAGGGAACACACATCCTCTCCTCCCTGTGACACTGACATCCAGTGGAATACAGTGGGATATCTCTGGAGCACACCTGCCTTGGAGAAGGGCCTGTCTCTTTTCTGTTTGAGCATGAGGCACTCGGTTGCTGTGCAGTAATAACTCACTGCAGAACCTCACTAAAGGTTGTTGCACACTCCATCAGGCCTTTCCCAACTCCTGGAAGTTCTCACTACTATTATTACCAATAACTTACAAGCACCTCGACAACTCTTGCACCACCAAAATTAAATGTACGACTGAAAACTAAAATTAAAGAAAAAGGAAAGAACCCCAGCAACAAACGAACAACTAATTAGCACAAAACACAAAAATCCCCCCAAACGAACCTTGTGTTCCCATGTGTGGTCACAAACTGCCACCTACTGGCTCCCACTCCTGTGCTCGGAGTGCCTGGGTGGCTCGGAATGAGAAAAGGTTGTCAGCAGCCTGGGCTTTATGGTCCTAAATCACTCAGCTGTCACCCAGCTGCTCCTCAGGGACTTGGCAGGACAAATTCAGGTCACCCCTGTGCCATCCCGGGACAGGGCAGGTACAGCAGCACTGTGCCCAGGCTTGTGTGGCAGGTGACAAGCACAGTGAGGCATTTAACACCAGGGAAAGCCAGCAAACAGGGCTGGAGGGGACAGACACCCACCTACTGCACTCTTCTTGGGCTTTCTGAGCCCAAAAAACCACGGGAATTATACTCACAACATTTACATCTGAACCCACAGGCAAATCTGAGCACCACATCGACAGTTTTGATAACCAGGTGTAAAATCTGACCTTAGGAGAGAAGGGCAGAACTGTGGAAATCTCAGCAAGCAGAAATCAGGCCAGACTTCCTGCTGATTCAGCAGGGTCAGGAAACTTTGGTAGTGTAAATTTCAATACAGAGACAAAGAGAAAGTTTCAGACTGGTCTGGAAAGGCTTTTATGCCATAAAAGGCTAAAACTTTAAAGGACTTTTTCCCCAAGTGTCCAAGAAATGTCACCACAGCATTCCCAACTCATAAGCACTCCCTCAGATGATTAAGAGACTATACTTCCTATAACTCTTCTGACCTACCATGAACATGCCAGAAAGAGAAAGAAGCACATTTCCCCTCACTGACTCCTGTTTCCTAAGCCAATTAGGACTGGCAGCAAAATAAAAGTTCCTGGTATTTTTTCATTTCCCAGATTTATCTATGGATTTTGCTCTGAATTTAGAGGAATCAGTTGTCAGAACAACAACACAACGTCACAGCCACGGCAAAACCACCTCAGTCTTCCAGCCTGGAAAACACTAAATCAGCCCAAACACCACATTTATCTGCAGTTTTGCTTTTGACCAAAGAAAATTCAACAAAAATAAGTTATTGTAATGCTGGAATGACCTCTACTACAGAACAGAAGAATTTCAGCAGGAAGATCACCCAAAAACCCCACAGGCACAGAGTGCCTCCATATTTTTTTTTCCCTCATCAAGGACAAACCTGGAGCTGTTTTCCTGAAGCTGGCAGCGTTTCAACTGGCTAGAAACTTATTGAAGAGAGAAGCTGTAAATCCAGTTCCTGCCCTCCCCTGTACAAAATCACACAGAGCTATACTTAAACCATAAAACAATAAAGAATATGCAGCTAATTTGACGTTACACAATCCTAGGGGAAAAAGGGAAAGGTCTTTACTTACCTCAATAGATACAAGTATCAAAATAATCCCATCAGAAAAGTTGTCTGATGACCCGGGACTCGGCTGTTTCCGGAAACAAAGGGCTGACAGGAATTGTAACCGTCGACAGATGCAATAAAGAGCAGGATTGCACAACTCTGGCTTTTCCAGAAGGCAACAAAGTATTTCATTTTTCTTGTGTGTGAACACACAGACCCAGCCCTGCCTGCTGTAAAAAATGCCTTTACTCTGGGAGAAAGTTGGAACAATCTGTTTTTCTTCTCTGCTTTTCAGCACATCTTCTTGCAAAATACAGTTTAATCCTTTTTTTTTTTCCTTTTTTTTGTCAGGGAGAAGAGCCCATGGAACAGCCCTATTAGACTGCATACAGATAAAAGTTATTCCATATGAACTACAAGGGAATTTATCAACCCACAAGTCATTGACCTGTTTGTTGAAGATATGAAAAGAACCCACAAGCGAAAAACAGTTTGTATGAAGTAAGGCAGGATTTGATGGCCCATGCCAAAGCAAAGAAGCCCTCAGTACTTGCAGTGCAGGCACAGGGAAGGGAGGACAGGGAATGTTTGGGATCAGGATGGAAAAGGAACGGGTTCACTTCGCCACTTGTACTGGGCTGAGAGCGTAACACAGGTGAACATGGAAAACCAAGCCGCTGGATAAAGAAAAATCCACGGCTGTCTCAGGATTTGTAAAGGGAAAAGAAAAAAAAGAGAAGGGAGGAAAAGTTTTCAGATCAGTTTAGACCATCGGCCAGGGCAACATTATTTCCCAAAGGTGGTGCAATTAACCTGAACTCTGGTTGCTTAGAGCAAACAACCAAACATTTTAAAAGAATCAATTTAACAACATCATCAGGTCAACTGCTATATGCCCACAGTGCGCTGCTTCCCAAAGCGTTTTACTCCTCAAAGCGTTCATCTGGGGGTTAAACCAGAATTATTTTGTCTGACAGCTGAGCCCGTGGACTTGTGATCCCTGACACGGCTCTGAACACACGCTCAGAGACCCCGGACAGACCTGTGGCTATTCCTTTAGAGTTATCCACTGTAAT